AAAGCATTCTGGGAGAATGTCCTCTGGACAGACGAGACAAAACTGGAACTTTTTGGCACATCAGCTCTATGTTCACAGACACAAAAATGAAGCATATCAAGAACAGAACACTGTCCCTACTGTGAAACATGGAGGAGGCTCTGTTATGTTCTGGGGCTGCTTTGCTGCATCTGGCACAGGGTGTCTTGAATTTGTGCAGGGTCCAATGAAATCTCAAGACTATCAAGGTATTCTAGAGAGAAATGTGTTGCCCAGTGTGAGAACGCTTGGTCTCAGTCGCAGGTCATGGGTCTTGCAACAGGATAATGAGCCAAAACACACTAAAAACACTCAAGAATGGCTCAGAGGAAAACATTGGACTGTTCTGAAGTGGCCTTCTATGAGCCCTGATCTAAATCCTATTGAACATCTGTGGAAGGAGCTGAAACATGGCATCTGGAGAAGGCCTTCAAACATGAGACAACTGGAGCAGTCTGCTCATGAGGAGTGGACCAGAACACCTGCTGAGAGGTGAGAAGTCTCACTGACAGTTACAGAAATTGTTTGATTGCAGTGATTGCCTCAAACGGTTGTGCAACAAAATATTAAGTTAAGGGTACCATCATTTTTGTCCAGGCCTGTTTCATGAGTTTATTTTTTACAATAATTCTGTTAAACCACAGTTCAAAAGCAATGTCTGATTTTCACTGGTTAACTTTCATTGAATTCTTATTTATTACTACATTTGTCAGATTCAAGTTATCTCTGTGACCTTTGTGGGGTTTTCTTTCATTAACAGAGTGGTACCAACAATTTTGTCCACGTGTGTATATACAGAAATTAAATATATTACTTTCCAGTCATCTGTTATTCTAACAAATAGTAGTCTTCAGGGAACGTTCCTACAACCTTCCCTGTCGGGGAACCTTCTGAGAACCTTTAGGTCATTTTGTGACACTTTCAGAGGTCTTTCAGGAAACTGCTGCTGAAAAGCTGAGCAGCTCCACTTCTTTAATCAACGTTCCCTGACCGAAATTGTGGAAAGTTTTCTTGATGTCTGTGGAATGTTCCATTCTGAGAAGAGATTTGTTGACTGTACCTACAGTCTCTGACATAGGTTCCCGAAACTACACACTTACTGACCTCAAAATGCATAATATGCTATTACATTTGTATGTTTTATTAAGCATGTCACCATAAAATACTGGCAGCAGAGACATCCTTTCATAAATGAGGGGTTCAGTGCCAAAGCAAACCACAACAAATCCAAAGTTGAGTTTGATAAGTGTTAATGGTCTACTAGTTGGTGGCAAAGTGGTCCAACCAACAGCCCACTAGTAATGTCATAATGTGACTTTGAAGTTTGGCCCATAATGGTTTTGGCATGAAGATTTAGTGGCAAATTGGGCCAAGCCACAGTAATCATTGACCATTAAATCGCGGGGACAGGTAGTTGCACATGTTTGTGATTCAAGATGGCGGACAGCGTGACCTCAAGCCCTATCAAAACGTAGTCATATGTACGGTAAGTTAAAATAAAAACTCATTAATAACCACCACCAAGCATCTATCTCTACCCCATGGTCCTGAAACATATCTGTAGTTCCTTATGATGACCCATGTAAACTCTTCAGTGCTGTTTAGCGAGACAAACCTTGAATCATTTTTTTTTTCTCAAAAACTATAAAATGTGGTACGGCCCACTTTGGCACTCAGCCAAAGGAAAGGGAAAAATTAAAACTTAAATAAGTCACCACAAAGTAGCCGTTTCTATCTCTGGACAGTGTTGAAACATCTTTGGATGCATATAATGACTCCTCCAACAACCAGGATTTTTTTTTTTTTACACAAAATTTTGACCCCATTTTTCTCTAAAACTAGTAAATGTGGTTTAACCCACTTTGGCACCAACCCCCTCATATGTACTGATGAGGTTGTTTGGGATGTTGCAACATCAGGACCAGGATGGTGAAACACTTTGACTTGATGAATCATTGCAACAACAAAAAAAGGAAATCCATTATTTTGGGCTCGTTTGTCATACAAGCTGTAATGTAACATCAGCCTGATGCCAGAAACAATGCAGAAATTTGCAATCATTTCAAAGCTGGAATTCTAGGAATTCAAAAAAGAGCAACGGGTGGAAATGGACACAGAAGTGGTTGCTGCAGGTTGTTAATGTGAATAAAATGATTGTAAATTCAAAATGATTTGTCAACACTTTATCACATGCAAAAGCACCTTGAATCATTGTCAGGCCGCACAGATACATGTGATGTGCTCGCAGCAAGAAGAAGAAAGACTGAATTTGGAAAAAAATGATGTCCTTGAAACTAAACATGTCTTTGTGACCTGAAATCCATTTGTCCGTGTTTTTCTTGTGACTTCCTTGGTCCTTTATGGTTAAACTTTTACATTGTTACTATTGTTTATTGAAACACCATAACCTTGTGAAAACCTTTCATTGTCTTCTTATTTGATCTGATCTGGCATTTATTCTCCTGTACCAACATTCAGTGTGGTTGTGTGTGGTTGATTTCTTTTACAATCTTGCGCAGAGTTTCAGGAATTGTTGTACACTAATATATGCTGTAAACAGACCAGAAACAAAGGGACAGATTTCAAATTCATCTTTATTAGTTTAGAAGATGGTGACAGATTTGTGTAAATATAACAGGGAAAGCCAACTGTAATCAAGTTAAAGCCAAATTAACTGGAAATCCATGTGAAGGTTCTTGCTTATGACGCATCATCTTCGTCCAGGTTGCTTAAGGTCTTTCACAAGCTTTCGCAAAATATTCCCCTCTGTTGAGAAACACAGTTCACATCATCTTGGTGCATTTATATATTATGAGAGTGTAAATTTACTTCAATGCTGCATTTGATTTGCGAAACATTCCTAAATCCATACAAAGAAAAGATGCAACAACAAATCATTATCAACTGAACATCAAAAAAAGCAATGAAAAAGAGAAACCATACACACAAGAACACAATAATTTAGGGATGTTGCAGTTCTCGAGTACAAATGTGTTCTTCATACTTACGCTCGCTAATTTCTTGAGTCTTTCTGGGAGCCAGCTGGCAGATGGGTCAACACAGTACTGGTTGCTGGCAGTGGTGAAACTATGAGACAATAAAGAGTACAAAAAATGTTTTAAACATACAGTACACCCAATATGCCTTAAGCCATTTTTTTATTGTGATCGAACTGGGCAGGGATTAGCATAGCTTAGCACAAAGACTGCAGTTGGAGAGAACAGCTGGTGTAAAGGTATCCTATCTATGCATGATTTTGAATCTTGAATAAAATGGTTTGATTGTGTCACCAATGCTGAGGTTCTTGACCGGTGCTCTGCAACAAGCATTGAAGCTACATTACATCAGAACAACAGACTATGATGGTATGGACACATGGTCAGAATGGATGCACTTTGTCGACCTAAACAGCTTCTCTTTAGCCAGCTGTCCTCAGGAACCAGAGGTGCTGGTGCTCCTAAGAAGAGATTTAAGGATGCCCTCAAAAAGACCGTCAAAGACTGTGGGATTGGTAACTGGGCTACAGCCCTGCTAGACAGACTAGTGTGAAGGAGAACTGTTTGAGGTCGTTTGAAAGAAACAGAAGGAAGGCTGAGGAAGAGAGACAAGCCAGACGAACAGCTGCTGAGGCCCTCAAACTTGGACAGCTTCCTGGGTGGAGGCTTCAACAAAACCTATATGGACCGCCATGCTTGTGTCCAACGGCAGTGATGAAGATAAGTTCACTCAGTCTACCAACACCTCAAGACTCACCAGGAAGTCAGCACTGCTTTGGACTAATTTAGAACTTCTTTCTGGACTGTTGATCTCCTCTATTGCTCAGAACACAGAGTTATATCCAGTAACTAATATTTGCTGTTGTTTTGGTGCAATCTGGGTTAATATCTTGGTCAAAACTGTTTGATCCTGCACCACAATGGAAACAGAAAGCCTAAAAGGGTCGAATATGGGGTCACTCCTGTAAATGTTCACACCGTCTCGCTCCTGCTTTGAATCCCTGATGCAGAAATCCACCTAAAAAGTCAAATTACTCCTTTGTTAAAAGGGACTTACTGCATATGAATATAGGCGTTAACTTATCTAGATTGTTTTCTCCTGACTAGATACTTGCTTGTGTTTTATCTGCTCTCAGACATACGTCGCTTTGGATAAAAGCATCTGCTAAATGAAATTGTAGAATTGTAGATACATAGTGCAGGGGACATCCATCAACATACTGTAAACAAGATTGTGTGTGACTCAGAAAACTTACATGTATGCTTGGATGTTACATCCAGGGACCCGGTACGCCTTTTGTATGGCGCAGTCGTTGACAGGTTCCCGAATATGGGCTTGTGAGGCCGTCTTGCAGCAGTTTGAACGGACCGCTCCATCTATGTACTTCAGGCTGCCTACGATGAAAGGATGAAAGGATGAAAGGAAAGCAGACGATGATAGAAAT